ATTCCCATCATTCCCCCTCATCTCTTGGACTACAGCTCCCATCTTGACCCCCCCCCCCATCCCTCTCCTCCCTTGGACTGCAGGTCCCATCCCATCATCCTTTCCCTTCCTCTCTTGAACTACACCTCCCATCCTGGCACCCAGTCCCCTTCCTCCCTTGAACCAGACTCCCTGCCCCAGTATCCCCTTCTCCCCTCTTGCACTACAGAACCCATCCCTCTCCCTCTCACCCCTTCGACTACACTTCCCATGCCTGCATCCCTCCCCTCCTGGCAACCCCCCCCCCCTCCCCCTTCCCCCCTCCCATCCCCCCCCCCCCCCCCCCCCCCCCCCCCCCCCCTTGAATTCCCCCCCCCCCAAAAAAAATCCCAGTATCCCCTTTTGGGACTACACTTCCCATCCCTCACAAAGGCCCTCCCCCCAAAAGCATCCTCTTCCTCCTGCCCACCCCCCACTTTGGCCTGGGACCTGATTACACCCCCCCCTTTTGTCCGTCCCCCCCCAGGAGGCTTATCCGGCCGTACCCCCCATCTGGTCGGTGGAATCCGACGACCCCAACCTGGCCGCAGTCTTGGAGAGGCTGGCCGACGTAAAGAAGGGCAACACGTTGGTGAGCAAGCGGGCAGCGGGAGGGAGGAGGGAGGGAGGAGGCATTTTTTTGGGGGGGGGCCGTTGCAAGTCCGGCTGGCCCTGGCCCCCCCCCCCCCCCCAATCTCCACCTTTGGCAGCTCCTGCAGCACCTGAAGCGCATCATTTCTGACCTCTGCAAACTCTATAACCTTCCTCAGCATCCAGATGTGGAGATGCTAGACCAGCCCTTACCTGCTGAACAGGTGAGCCTTCTCTCCCCCCCCTCCCAAAGCCCCCCCCCCCCCCCCCCAGCTGGGCAATTGGGGAGTGGGTGGCTTCACCTGGGCCTTTGAAGACAAGGGCCGCTGGCTCAGAGTTGGAGCCAGGCTTCACCTCCGCAGCATACATCCCTCGACTCGTTTAGTGACCGACTTGTCTTTATGACAGTTGCAGTGGGTCCGTCCATCCCCCCCCCCAAAAAAAATCCCTTTTAACAGTCTCGCTTAGCGGTGGGAATATTGCGATGGTGGCCGTAAGTCAGAGGACGGCCTGGCCACCGTCCCTCGGTGGGGGGCCTTGAAGATCCTGCCGGCCGAGTTGGAATCCGCGGATCCTGTTG